ACAAGGTTCCATATCACAAAGGGAATGCTGGGATCAATCTTGGGGGTAATTGCCTCCAAATTTTAGCAATTAGGGACCAAAAAAGGGGCAAAAAACAAGCATTTTTCTAGTTTCATGACAATAACTTGTGTGTAAGTGTATGGATCTTTCTAAAATTGTACTTCAAGGTTCCATATCACAAAGGGAAAGCTGGGTTTGAGTTTGGGGGTAATTGCCCTAAACGTTTAGGAATTTGGGGCCAAAAAGGTGCCAAAAAACAAGCATTTTTCTAGTTTCCAGACAATAGCTTGTGTTCAAGTGTACGGATCTCTCTGAAATTGTATTGCAAGGTACCATACCACAAAGGGAAGGCTGGGATTGATTTTGTGGGTAATTGCCTGAAAATTTTAGGAATTAGGGACCAAAAAGGGGCAAAAAAACAATCATTTTTCTAGTTTCAGGACAATAACTTGTGTGTAGGTGTATGGATCTTTATGAAATTGTACTACAAGGTTCTATATCACAAAGGGAAAGCTGGGTTTGAGTTTGGGGGTAATTGCCCTAAACGTTTCGGAATTTGGGGCCAAAAAGGGGCCAAAAAACAAGCATTTTTCTAGTTTCCGGACAATAACTTGTGTTCAGGTGTACAGATCTCTCTGAAATTGTACTGCAAGGTACCATACCACAAAGGGAAGGGATTGAGTTTGGGGTTGATGAATCATAAGGGGGTTCAAAAAATTTGAGGGGGGGATTTTTTTTTCCTTTTTTTTCTTTAAAATTTCCATTTTAAATTGGTTATTTCTGATTTATATATAAAAGCAAATAATAATGATATGGTTTGAATAGGTAAATTAAAAATTTTTAAGTTCTTAGACCACATTCATTCTGTGTCAGAAACCTATGCTGTGTCAAATATTTAATCACAATCCAAATTCAGTGCTGTATCAAGCTTGAATGTTGTGTCCATACTTGCCCCAACTGTTCAGGTTTCAACCTCTGTGGTCGTATCAAGCTGCGCCCAGCGGAGCATTTTATTGGTTATTATCTTGAATATTATTATAGATAAAGTTAAACTGTAAACAGCAAAAATGTTCAGCAAAGTAAGATCTACAAATAAGTTTATATGACCAAAAGGAGTTATTGCCCTTTAAGGACAATTCAACACAATTTGTTTATCATGTTTTCTAACTTTAAAAAATCTTCTCCTCAGAAACTACCAAACCAATTCCAACCAAACTTAAGCTGAATGATCCTTAGGGTATCTAGAATAAATTTTGTATTTTATTTTCTGTTTCGTTAAAAAACATGGCCGCCATGGCTAAAAATAGAACATAGGGGTAAAATGCAGTTTTTGACTTATATCTCAAAAACTAAAGCATTTAGAGCAAATCATACAGGAAGTTAAAGTATTCATTAGGTCTACCTGCCCTGAAATTATCAGCCAAATCGGGTATCTGATTTTTAGGTTATTGCCTCTGAATTGATGATTTTAAGGAAATTTTGCAGTTTTTGGTTAATATCTTGAATATTATTATAGATTAAGATAAACTGTAAACAGCAAAAATGTTCAGCAAAGTAAGATCTACAAATAAGTTTTATATGGCTAAAATTTTGCCCTTTAAAGACAAATTTTCACAATTTGTTCATCTAGTTTGCTTACTTTAAAAAATCTTCTCCTTTGAAACTGCTGAATGAGTTTCAGATTATCTTGTATAAATTTTGTATTTTATTTCCTTGTACGTCAAGAAACATAGCCACTATGGCTAAAATGGAACATAGGGGTAAAATGCATTTTTTGCTTTTGAAGAAAATATGACAGATACAAAGAACATTTAAATGGCATTTTTAAGCCACTCATTGATATATATTGAAAAGCAAAAATAATCATTGATGAAAGATTTAAGCAAAAAATTACAGGTGAGCGATTCAGGCTCTTGAGAGCCTCTTGTTTGTCTTGTAATTAGTAAATCTGTACATTGTTATATAATATGTTGTTTTTTGCTTGACTCATATGGGACATATGGAGTTTATTTGCAAATAAAGTAATACTATTAAATAATTGATGGATTAAGATGTGATTTTGTCACTTGCTTTAATGTTAAAGTTTAAAATAGTTCATTGTCATTCTTTTATCTGATTTGATATTAGTGACAAATAAAGATACAAATTTACTTATTTTTCAGATGTTGCTTTACTGCAGCTTTGAATGCCTCCTGGTCATGTATTGATTTTTTATTATTTGAAAGCACATTCCAATCTTTAAGGGAAAGGGATAAGTTCAATGGATAAACTTTGCTTAAAATTTAGGAAACAACACACAGGAATCATTTAAAGTATGTCAGTCCAATATTAGCTGCGGAACTGTAGCTCTTAGGTCCTTGTGATATTTTTTGACAATTTGCGGGTCTATGTTCCCCACAAATCAGAAAATATAATAAGGACCATTAGAGTTACGGTTCCGCAGCTACTCCAATATATGCTGCTGTATTGTAGTACAAAAATTCTGTTAAACCAAACAGCAGCGCAGAGTTTATAATCTGCAGGTACTATTCAAGTATGTCAGCCCAATAAATGCAGATGCCAAGTTCTAATATAAAAAAATACCTTTGACCTATTAATGGAAGTACCTTAAAAAAGACAAAAGTCTAAAACTACTGAGATTACCCCATAGCCATTATCTTTGCAAAGCTTTTAGTGCTACATTAAAGTAGAAAAACCTTATATCTGCTAAGCATAGCAAAACAAATCCCCTTTCTTTGAGAATGTTATCTTTAGAAGTCAAATGTCAGATTGGACTCAAAATATATCTGATAAAGTTACATATTTATTTTTTGTTGCAAACAAACATACATTTTATTTTTAAGGCTGAATTATTCAAATCCTGATGAATTGTAATTCCTATTGATTTCTTCTAGCCTTGTTGAAATTAATTAAGGTACAATACATCAAAATATAACATCTATGAAATTATCAGTTGCTTCAGCCCTGTTGTCAAAGCTATAAAATTGAAGCATTTATTCTTGATAAATATTTTCATTTGTTACAAACAAACATTTATTTGCAGCCAAGTTGGTAAAGTTATTGATCAGCTTGGTTTAATGTTGTTTACCCCACTGTAAAAACATTTCAATTTGTTTGGGTAGAAAATAAACATGGCATAAAATCAATAAATGTTATTTGTTTTTACAAAATAAATCAAGATCGTTCCATCAATCCATGTTGAAAGTTAAGCCTTTATGTGAAATTTGATAAAATTGTTCCTATAATTCAAACCTCATTTATTAGATGGTATTTTGGCACTTCAATTTATAACAAAAAGCTATTGTTTATGTTTGTAACAACTGAGTGCCAAAAGCCTGATTGTATAGCTTTGTAGCAATTATTCAGAACTATATAACAAGTTCTTGGAAAGTGAGAAAATAAAAACAGTGGTGTTCAATGCTTTGTTTAATATGCTCCAAAATGGAGCATAAAAGATAGTAGGGTTGATTTTGGTCATACCACTCATGTATTTATCAAAAGATCTTTAACAACATTGCAGCTGCTAAAACCATTTCAATTTTTTGTCTCAACAAAACGAGACTAATAGGTGCTGTTTCTGGCGGCAGTGATGGTGGCTTCAGTAATGTATTAGTTTGTGATTAGGTCGGTTTATGGGGAACCACTAGTGGTAGGTCAATGATATTTGATATGCAGTTGTATTAGTATTGGCACATCATATTTCTATGGAGATAATTTGACCCCATCTCCTCAGTCATGATTTAATGACTTTGAAACTTTTGCTTAGTTCACATGTATGCGATTAGGTCAGTTTTAGGGGAACCACTTATGATAAGTCAATGGTATTTGGTATGCAGTTTTATAAGCATTGACATGTTTCATTTCCATGGAGGTTATTTGGCTCTGCACATTCAGTCATTGTTCATTGAAATTGTATGTTTTGCATCACCAGCCCAGTAGTCAGCACTTCTGTGTTGACATGAATTATCATTGATATGGTCATAATTATAAATTAACTGTTTTTAAAACTTTGAATTTTTGAAATACTAAGGCTTTTCTACCTCAGGAATAGATTACCTTAGCTGTATTTGGCAAAACACTTATGAATTTTGGGTCCTCAATGCTCTTCAACTTCGTACTTTATTTGGCCTTTTTAACCATTTTTGATTGGAGCATCACTGATGAGTCTTTTGTAGACAAAACGTGCGTCTTGAGCAAATACAAAATTTCAATCCTGGTATCTATGATGAGTTTATTTGCAGGGTTTACATGTCATAGTTGAATACCATTTTAATTAACATTTGCATTTTACTATCAAAATTACATAAAGGCAAGCCATAATCTCTGTGTCAACAGTTTATTCATTCTTTTTGTGTATTTCTCTAAAAATCATAGATCATAAAGGAGCATGATGATTTCTTGCAAATTTTCATCTGAGGAGCACACAATTTCATGAGCTCATTAGTTTATCATGTAGCACCTGTCTCATATTAATAATGCATTAATTTATTCTGGTTGTTAAGTTATCATTTCACACTGTGTAATAAACTCCTTTATATTTCTGGTGTTCTGTGACTACAGTATTTCATAGAATTACATTGAAAAAATCCTTCTCATTTAAATACAAAGAAATATTATGGCAAAATTTTAAGGGACACCAAAGCCTGAAAGTACATTTCAAAGGGGACTATTTTGACACCATCAAAGTTCCAGTATGATATAAATCTTTATGGTGTTCAAATCATTGTCTCTCTTCCCCTGCCTCATCTACCGTTAAAACCAACAAGCTATTGCCCTCATTATGCATGTACTTTACTGCTGGACTTGATAATGAAAGAACAATCGGTTAAGTTATTTAGATTTGAGAGAAACAATATTAACAAATTTTACAATGTGTATATAAATGCCAAGCGATGGAATCACATCTTGCTTCCCTTTTCAAATAAACTGCAATCAATTCAGAAGAGAGGATTAAAATAATTTTTAATTAGTTATATTTATTATTTTTTGTCTTTTTTCAGGGAATTACAAATAGATGGTAAAATAAGATTATTAGATGTAGGAAGTTGTTTCAATCCCTTTGCTTGTTATGATGATTTTTTGGCTGTTGGGATAGATATTGGTCCAGCTACTTCAGTAAGTTGGTTATGTTTAGAATAATATTACTGGTAACTCTTTTCATCCAACAAACTCTAGAGTTATAAATTTTAAAGTTAAGAAATTGTGCTTTTAATCTTTCTTTTTGGCACCATAGATTTTTTGATAACAGATACAATTATACTGGTGTTGTTCAGTTATTGTGTCTGGTATTTTTGGATGAACATTGATTCATTTATTGATAGTTTGAAGCCAGACTAAAACATTTTTTCATTTTTCTGAAAAAGAAATTCTGTACTTGAATGTTTTTAGCTTTGAACAAGATTGTGTCTTCCTGTTCTTTTTATGACACCACTGACTGAAGTCTATTCTGTCATGAGTAAAGCCATTTATATTGGAGCTTAGATTTGCATGATTTCATATCAGAAGGTTATGTACTTTGAGTTTGTTTTCATTAAATGCAAAAAAAATTTGATACAAAATTGTTTTCTATTGTTTATGCTTATGCTTATGTTTTTGTTATCTCTTATACTAGTTTCATAGTTACCGGTAAGTGCTTTTCCTATGCTTATAATTATTATATGTCCTTTAATGTTAATTTATATCCACTGATCAAGATTAATTGAGAGAGGATTGAGTTGTCTGAATAAAAAAAAAGGAGATGTGATTGAAACAACTATATACCAAAGACAAAAGGACTGGGATCACCCTTTAGCAATGAGCAAGAACACAAAAAAAGAAATAATTAAATAAAGCTTTCCTCATGTACTACTGAACAGAATGACTTCATGATTGTTCAGCATCTTTTCAGTGATGGGTTGTAAAATCTAAGCTCTTTTCAAATCATGCAGACACATAACCCTCCCCTTTCAATTTCAGCAATAGGAATAAGAAAATGTAAATAGAACAAACCGTTAAAAATAAGCCCAGAAAAGCACTTTACTCTATAATACTGGTATTGTGGACTACAAAAACACAGGTACAAGTAAATCAAAACCAAAGATATGAAACAAAAATAATGCTTGCTGTAAAGGAAAGCAAGCTGAACTGGGCCCGATTTGGTGGTGTTAAATTTTACAAAGTCTATCTGAATCATTTTGCAAAGAATTCGCTTAAACAGGTGCTAGGGGCCATTTTAAATTTGCACTGAGGGGAGAGATTTTTTTTATGCCCCCGCCGTAGCGGAGGGGACATTAAGTTTTACCCTTGTACGTCTGTACGTCCGTACGTCCCAAAGTTGGTTTCAGTTCTCTTACTTTAGTTTGCCTCAACCAAATGTTATGAAACTAATACACAATGCTAATTACCACAAAACACAGATCAAGTTTGAATATTGGTGGTGTCACTTTAACCGTTCAAGAGTTATGCCCCTTTACAAATGGAAAATTTGCTGAATTTTTCGTTTCCGTTCTCTAACTTTAGTTTGCCTCAACCAAATGCTATGAAACTTATACACAATGCTTTAATATTACCACAAAATACAGATCAAGTTTGAATTTTGGGGATGTCACTTTTATTGTTCTAGTGTTATGCCCCTTTACAAATGGAAAAATTGCTGAATTTTTCGTTTCCATTCTCTTTCTTAAGTTTGCCTCAACCAAATTTTATGAAACTTATACACAATACTTATTACCACAAAACTCAGATCAAGTACAAATTTGGGTAGCGTCACTTTTAATGTTCTTCAGTTATGTCCCTTTATAACTTTATATGATATGCAAGCGGGGGCATTATCTGTGTCCCATGGACACATTCCCCATTTATTTGTTTTATTTATGGTCAGTGTTGAAGGCCTCACTGTGACTTTGAGATGAAAAACAGCAATAAAAGTGCTGTTCCTTTGCTTTTTTTTTTTCTTTTTTTGCTGTGCATGTACTGAATTTTGTGTCGGATGGATACCCCATATCCTTTGTTTTTCTATTATGAAAGTGATTTTAAACAAAATATTGCTCTTCTGCAGTAGTGATACTAATGAGTATATTTCAAACATCAGAGTCATGAGCTATGCAGCAGAACATTTATTTAAAAAAATCATAATTCGCAAAATGGATTTCAAAACTGCATCATATTGAATAAGAAAATTTCTTCTCTTTCAATAGTTGAATTTCTGAATATTTGAAATGAAACCATTTTGGATCAAGAAATATTGTATCACTATGGATAAAGAGGTAGAACATTTAGAAATGAAAAAATATTCGAAAGGGGCATGACTCTTGAGACTCTTTATTTTACTGTCAAACTCTTAGCAAGTTAGAAAAAAAATACATTAGGTTGCAATTTGCAGCATTCTGCTTCAGATGCAACTGAATAAAATAACTTCTCCTATACCAATTTCTTTTTGATCTATATCCAGTATGTCGGGGGAAAATTCAACTAATTTGTTGTTGAAATTTAGAACTGAAACTAATTTGTTACAATTCATAGCTGGTTTCCTTAATTTTGTCATTTACTCTTGATTTACTATGAGCTTAAGTTTCATTTTCTTTTTAATTTTTCTTTCAGACAAAAGTAATAGACCATAGTTATAATCTCTTGTCATCAATATTTACCCATAGTTCAAATAGAAATTTGATCTTTTGTCGATAAACAAATCTTGGGGGGATATTATTTGTTTGTCCCTTGTGCAAATAGTTCTGGCTAACAAAAAATGCAACATATCTATTTCTCATTTTCCATCATTACGCATTAATATTTTATTTCATGTCATTTTCTAATCTTGTATCAAGGACAATGTGTAAGATTGGATCAAAATTTAAATAAATAATTGCCTTTTTATTTCATTCTTTTTATACAGTGAAATTATATTTTTGGATACAGTTTGTGCTTGTTGACAAGTAATAGACGATTAAGTGAAAAATATTTTATAACAAAGAATATGTTAAAGGAAAATGACCTCGTCAAATATATGAAAAGGAAATCTGCAGACGATATTGTTGGGAAATTTTTTTTGTTTGCATAATTTGGACGAAACTTTTTACAGAAATAATTTGAAGGGGTTTGAATTGTTTATTTACCTCAGCAAAGAAAATAACAAGGTCTCAATCTTTTATAATTGTAACATTTTTGATAAAATTGTTTAAATTAAACAAGGCTAAATTAGAATTTAATATGAAGCAATAGAGAAAAATGTTTACTCCCATGAAGAATTAATATTTAGTTAAAAAGAGATATTTAAGGAACTGTCATAGGTCAATGTGACATCATTGTATGCCTTTTTATTGATATTTTAAATTGTTAAATGATTTCAGTCAAAAAGATTATCTACTATATCTTAGGTTAGATAAGTGTATACTTCATGAAGTAAATTCTATCGATGAAATTAATACTATTTATTGTAAGAATTATATCAAATTATTGTCATTTGATAATAACTGATAATAAAAGTTGATGTAATCTTTTTGCTTTTAGTTGTTTTGTGTACATGTATGTACCTCTTTTTAATATTGAAAACATAAAAAAAAAAGAATACCAAAGGTTTTCAAAGACTTTACATACAACTTTGACATTAGCACATAAGCTCAAATTTGAAAAAAAATATTCATTCAAGTCTCATTGATTGAAAAAAGGTGCCAACTTTTTATGGAATGCATGTAAATTTTTAAAACATTCTCAAAATTGTCTCTGAATCTGAATTCCTACAGAATCAATCCATTATTTTATTTTTGAATTTTATATTTTATTGGCAGATATTTTCTTTTAATGGTTAGAATAATCATAGGGTCAATACATTCTTTTTTGGTGCAAATATGATTTTAAATGGCATTCTGGATGATAAAAATTATGTAGCAACCAATGAAAATTAGACTAGAATCTCCCTTTTCAAGGTGGATTTTTTTTTTAGAATCCAGCTTCACTGTGTATCATCGCCACCGGAAATTGGGTACTAACGAAGCGGAGAGAAATGGAAAAAAAAGTAAACAAGGTAAGAATTCGTTCAATTTAAAGCATTTCTACTGATTTGACGAGGGTACCGCTTAAGAAATGATTTTCTGATATATAATTCTTTAAATTATTAGGCCGATAAGTACAAAATTAAGACAAAATTTTGTGTTATACTCAAGAACTTGCCACTTAGTACCTGAAAATTTCGAGGTCGATCGTCCTCTGTCGCCCCATTGGCAAGATATTCAACTGTTTTTCATTATTTTTCCAGACACTTTTTTAGATTATTATAGTGTGGCATCATATTTACTGAAATTTGTTGTCAAAATGAACTTTTTAAAAGAATATAGACCATAAAAAATAAAGTCAAGGGTACGGCAACTTGCTCATGTTGACAAATTTACTGTATGGCAACTTGTTTTCAACTATATGGCAACTTGCTAATTTCAAAATATTTATTTGCCGTCTTTTTAAAGAAAATAAAGTATTAGGTTCAAATATCTAATTATGCATTTGATAAAAATACAATTCGCTTGACACCATTTAAGATGTATACACAATATAAGGCTTGAACACAGTCATATTACATCTTTTACATACCTGATGTATACAATATGAATACGGCATATACAAAAGCTGGCAAATGTTGTAACTTTCGGAAAGGCATGTCACTGTTTTACTGACCTGTTGTTCTGCCCTGACGTAGCGTAAAATGTTACCCATGTCCGTCCGACCCGTCTCTCCCGTCCGTCCAGAAAGTCTCAATAATTGGTTTCCGTTCTCTAACTTTAATATGCCTTAACCAAATGTTTTAAAACTTACACGAAATGCTTATCACCACAAAACACAGATCAAGTTATAAATTTGGTAGCGTCACTGTTGCCGTTCTTGAGTTATGCCCTTTTATAAATGAAAAAAAGCTAAAGCTGTCGTTTCTGTTCTCAAACTTTAGATTGCCTCAACCAAATGTTTTAACCATACAACATTAGTCAGCATTTGCATATAAGTGATGAACATTTCGGGGATGGGTTGTGGGTGGAGGGAAGGAAGGAGGTAATGGCAGGAGAATTTTTTCGCATTGCATATTTAGAACCATTAAGTGAATGAATTCTCTTCCAACTTTCAGATAAAATGAAATATAAATGAATTATCATTCT